AAGAGACGTTGCAGCTCCTAATTAGTGCTCCAAAGAGAGGGCCTGGGTATTTAATTTTTGCTGCAGGATCTCATCCGCCAAATGCTTCCCCAGTCCTTCTCCACTGTACTGGGTTTAGAGTTCTCTCCTGGTCTCAGGTAGAGGGACTGGCCCCAGGCGAAAGCCTCCCCAAATTTCCCCAGCCACTCCCTCCGCCTCCCAGACCTCTGGGGCCATGAATCATTTATGAGGCAAAAATGAAACCAATTAAGGACAAACTTTGAAAGCCTCTAATTGCCGCGCCTGGTGGCATGGAGGAGTGAGGGGCGGCAGTTCTGCTCGCTGTGGAATCTCCTTGGCCCCAGCCCTGCCTTTCCAGGCCGTCTCCGGGCGCCACCACCTCCTGGCCGCTCACGGACGTGCCTGCGCTGCTCTGGGCAGCCGCCTGGCGCCCGCCCCGTCCTCCCAGGCCGACTAATTAGGCCCGGCTCCCTCCTGCGCTGCCCGCTCCAGGCCCGAGGTGATGGCGGCTCAGCCTGCCCTTCTGGGGCATGTGCCCCAAAGCTGGCCGCCTTTCCCAGGCTGAATGGCTGCCCGCCTGGCTTAACCCAAGCAAGCCCAGGGTGCACTGTGTTGTGGAGCCTGGGATCCACCCTGCAAACCAGAGGGGCTGGGAAGAAATTGATGAAGGGCAAGCTGGGGACAGGGGAATGGCTGGCAGTTGAGCTTATGGGGTGTTGCATTGATGAGTAGGACCACCCAGTGCCTGTCAACACTGCCAGGACTGGCAGCAGTGACCCTATGCAAAATCTTGGGTTTGGGGATGCAGGCAGGTGGAGGTCCTACCTCACTGCAGTGAACCAGAAGTGCCAGTCTTAAATCCTGCTAGCTGTGCTGGGGGCCATACAGGCCCTGGGCACTCAGGCACACTGTTTGCTGAAACAGAATTTCCGTGCTTGTGTTTTTCCATAATTATATTAGCAGGTGGGATTTTTCCTCGGGGAAGCACTTTGAGGGGGAGCGCTGTGGCTGTGTCCCCGCCTGCTCCAAGCGTGAGCTCACACTCAGCTCAGCCCGCCTGCCTGCCGTAATGATTTTTTAATTATGCAGCCAGTGCTCGGAATTGCTAATCCACCTCTAGCCCAGCGTCCCCTGCTGCAGCGTACACCCCAGCCCCTTGCTGCCAACCCCCGAAGGGCAGTGCCCAGCTCTATACCCATCGTTGCGTGCTGAGGGATACAACGGCTCCAGTGGGGGAAGAGTGCCCAGAAAGAGTCATGGGGTGCCTTTCCTCCCTCTGCAGGAGATGGGCTTGGGGATGCCGCTCTCTTTGTCTCCCACCCCTGCCCTGGTCCCAACCTTGCTTGCATTGGCCAGGGCAGCTGTGTCTCTGGAAAGGGGTAGGGGTGTGATCAGTGCCCGTCCCTCCTGTCTAATGCAACCCCAAGGACACACGCGTACAAGCACTGTCTTTGTCCCTGTCACACCTACGAGTCATCCTCTGCTTCCGTCCACACACACTCAGGCACACAGCTAAGCTGCAGCAGTGACATGCTCCATACTGCTCACGCTCAGCCACACCTGAGGGCTCAGGGTCCCCTCAGGAGACCCAGCGGCTGGATCTCCCCCAGTCATCCGAGGCTCTCTCCCTTCCCTTCCCTTCCCTAGTGGGCTGCCTGTGGTTGGCCTGTAAGAGCCTCGATCGACCCTGGCCTGGGGGAGTTGGGGGGCAGACTGCAGCGCAGTGGCAGCGGGTGGCTGCGGCTCCTCTCCAGGCGCCCAGCTGTGGCATCTGTCAAGGTCAGATAGCGACTCCGGAACCAGCCAGCTTGGCCCCATGGCCCCTCTCGCCTCATTATTTTTGTGTTCCGGGGTTGCAACGACACCTCCCTCCTTCCCTCCCCCCTCAGTCTCCTGCCTCTTGCCTTCCTCCCCCACGCCTCTGCAGGGAGGGCCTGCGGTCTAGGGGCTTTTGTTTTCCAGCTTTTACCAAGCTCAGGCCAGGCAGGCAGGCAGGTGGCTAGAAGCTGACCAGAGCTGTTGGACCTTGAACGGCAGACAGGTGCCTCCCTCATGGCTGAGCGTCTCGGCCAAAACAGTGAATTAGTTTCTCAGAGGGACAAACTGAACCTGGGTGCCACCCAGCCCCCACCTCACAGGCACACCTGTGGGCAGCTTCCTGTTTCCGTAGGGGCCCTAGCAGCTGGCACCAGTTCCCATCTGCACCAGCCTGGCACACTTAGGCCCCGCCAAGGCTCACAGCGCACACCCTGCTGTCTCAACGGCTAAGACAGGTTAACACACAGACCTGAAGAACCTGCAGACAGCCGCCCACCATAGTTAATGCTCTACTTGCACACAACACTGGTGGCTGTGTGTTCGGAGGTGTGGAAAGCACACCCCGCCGCCTTGCGCACTGGGAACTTAGGGTCCAGGTACCCCCTCCTTTGTTGGTCTGTAACCGTGTGCACAGTAGCGCTCCAGTTCACAAAGGTTGGCCCTTGGATTTCATCTGCGCCTGGGCACACCCACAGCCCACCAGACACAGGCTCCCAGCATAAATGTCTGACACGCTTCCCCTGGTGACACATAGCCCTGCTCCTCAGGATATACGCTCTGTATCACACTCCCTTCCTCCCAGGTTTCTTAATTACCTACCCAAGGAGCTTTGGTCCCCTGAAACGTTAGGAAGTGGCCTCCGCTTGGTGTGCCCTGTATGTCCAGAACATGGGAACGGGTGGTTTGGCAGATGCACTGCCCCACCTACCTGGCCTGAGAGCACCCTAGTGCAGTAGGGTGGGGGGGGTTCCAGCAGGACAGGTGGGAAGTGTGCCCGCTTAGATGCCACGGCCTCTAGTTTAGGGTCTGTAAATATGGGGGTACGGGGGTGTGAGTGGGATGTGGGCCTGGTCCAGATCCCCTAGAGTCTCTGGGGCAGCCACAGCCATCCATCCGCTCACTTCCTCCTCCAGCTGTGAACTGCTGTGGTTGTCCCTGGGAGGGGGAGAAGCTGGAGGCTTAGCGGTTGCTGGACACCCCCCACCCCCCCCAGGAAACTCAAAACCCTGGGCCAGCCGGGTGGCGGGTTGGGGCCAGCACAAAGAAGGCCTCTGTGCAGCCTGACTGGGCTGCCCACAGGATTCTGGGGGAGGCAGCAAGAGCCGGTTTCCGTCCCCGTTCTGCTTCCTGCGGAGGCCGCCGGAATGCCCGGAGCTCTTGCCCAGTCGGGCCCGTCCGGCCCACCCCTAGCCCCTTACCCTGTCTTTGCCTGGGCTTTGGGTCTAGCTGGAGCTGTCCTGGCAGTGGTGCTTGATGTGATGTGCCTAGAGCCCCAAAGCCACCAGAAAGACTCCTGGGAACTGAGCCTTCTCCAAAACCTCCATGTGCCTTGAAGCCCCTGGCCAGTATTGGAAAGCCAAGCCTGCAGACAACAGGTTCAAACCCTGACTCTGCCACCTATTGACCTTGTAATCCTAGGCAGGTATTTCACATCAGCTAAAAGGGTGTGGTGAGAACCTAATAATAAACTATAAGGGCTGGGTGTGGTGGCGCACACCTTTTACCCCCAGTATTGGGAAGCAGAGACAGGCAGATCTCTGGAGCTAGAGGAGAGACCTGTCTCAGAACAGCAACAACAAAAACAAAGTACAGGAAAAATGCTTAGCACAGTGCCTGGCTTGTGTCATGTCCCCTTAGGCCACCAGAGCTGAAGGAGACTTCTTTAGCTTCTTGTCCCCAGTAAGCCAAATTCCCTCTGTGGCTTCCTCAGAGCCTTTCTCGCCTGCAAATCCTGTGACCAGCTCCAGTCTCCTGTCAGCCTCTAGGTCACCAACCCTCTGTGGGTAGCTGATGGGGAGCCGACTCTCCAAACCTCTTGTGTATCTGTCCTTCCCACTCAAGCCCAGGAGCATGAGTCCTGCGATTGAGAGTGAGATCAGGAACCTTCTCCAGGGCTGGAGAGATGGCTCAGTGGTTAAGGCGAGTACTAGCTGCTTTTGCCGAGGACCCAGGATTGGGTCCTGGCACCTGCACAGCCGCTCACCACTTCCTGTAACTCCTGTTCCTGGTACCACCTTCTGGTCTCCTTGGACAGCAGAGGTGCACACAGCACATATGCTCATATGTAGGTACTCATACATACATACATACAGAATAGAATAAATTTCCTATTTTACAGGTAGGAGACAGATGCTCTATATAGGGAAGGGGCTAGTTCAAAGCCCGGGGGAGGAAGGCCAGATCAGAGCCACAGCTCAGGCCTTAGGACTCCGGTGCACTCCTTTACTCTGTTGGCACGGTTTGCCCCGTCTAGCTCCTCGACTCAGGTATCTCTGAGCCAGCTTTCTCTGCCTGTCCTGTGCTGGGACTCATCAGGGTAGAGAGGCTAAGCAGGGATGTGGGCTGAGGTCTCAGGTGGGTGTCTGCAGGTACCACTCTGTGAAGCATTTAGTTCAAGATTCAGACACCCCAGGGGAGAGTGTCATTTTGTCCATTCTAGCCCGCTGACCATTTGCCTACTCTTGGTAGGGCAATACAGTGTCTATGAGGAGTGTAAGCGCTGAAGCATGCAGAAGAAAGGCTAAGCCCATATTAGCTCTGGTCCATGGGGTCCCATATGACACGCCATGTGCTGAAGTCACAAATTGAGGAAGGGCATTCCTGGGCCTTTGCTGCCTTTAGGGTAAGAACCCAGGGAAAGTTCTGGGAGAGGAAGTCTGCATTTCACTATCTAGAGGCCAGGTCAAAGCACAACTCTGGCTAGGGCCTCTGTGCCAGTCCAAGAAGGTCCTCCCAGCTGGGTGGTGGTGGCACACGTCTTTAATCCCAACACTCAGGAGGCAGAGGCAGGCGGATCTCTGTGAGTTTGAGGTCAGCCTGGTCTACAAGAGCCAGTTCCAGGACAGGCCTCAAAGCTACAGAGAAACCCTGTCTCGCAAACCCCAACCCCCCGGGGGGGGGGTCCTTGGAGGTAGTCTTGTGAATTCTGTAGGGAAGAATAGGCCTGTGTGGCTTTCTTCAGAGCTCTGTGTATCTGAAGCAGAACGTTTTAAGTCACAGGTATGACTGCCACAGTCCCAGAGGGGTTTGACTTGGTTTTTTTTTGGAGGGAGGGGCAAGTCTCACTTTGTAGCCTTGGCTGCCATGCAGCTCTGTGTAGACCAGGCTGGCTCCAAATTCTTAGATCCGCTCTACTCTGTCTCAAGTGCTGTGATTAAAGGTGTGTGCCATCAAACCCTGCTGCCTTTTTTGTTTGTGTGTGTGTGTAGTGTTTTGTTTTGTACTGTCTTGGAATGTTAAGTCTTATTAACAATCCCCTAGTGATGTCAAGGGTGTATCTCACCCCAGCCAATTTCTAGGTCCCTGGGTGGTTGCAATGGCCATACAGATGTCCCTCCATCCTGGGTGTATAACCTGACGACCTCAGGCTGTAGGTCTGCCGCCAAGATCAGCACACCTATGTCTCTTGGGCCCAAGAGGGCTCCCAACCTCTGTAAACTTCCCAGACTGAATTATGAAACTTGGGAGACAGAACCCCGTCCTCATGAGTGCCTCAGCTCAGTTCAGTCCCTGGAACCTGTGGTCTGGGCTCCCTGCCAACATGTCTGTCTGTCTGTCTGTCTGCTCTTCAGCACTGCTCTCCTGTGTACCCTAGATAGGTAGAAGCAGTAGGTCTCTAAGCCAGTATGTGTGCTCTGTAGAGCTAGTCCAACCAAGCCATGCTTAGCCAGAGCCCTGGGGCTAGTGCAGCAGGCCTCCTCCCTTCCACAGGCAGAATAGGCCAAAAGGGTCTTCGAGCTAGTGCAGAAGAAGAGGCCTGACACCCTGGGAAACCTGCCCTCAGGCAGGATGGTGCTTGGATCGTTCTAAAAATGCACTTTAAAAAAATCTTCGAACCAGTGACAGGAATGGTGGCTAACACTTGTAACCCCCGCACCCCCAGCACCCAGGAGGCCGGGGTTGTCGGAGGCTTCCTACCCGGGAAGAAACATTGAATTATACTGTAAGGTCCTGTCCTTGATCTCAAGGCTCTGTCCAGTTGGGACCCTGCAAAAACTCAGCCATACCTGGCACCTGCTTCCACCCAGCCCTTCCTGAGGCTTTCCGCTGCGTGTCCTCTGATAGCTTCTCCCTAGTCTTAGCTCTTTACTTGGCAACCTCTTCCTCCGAGCGGGCCCCCCAGCCTCACTCAGTCTCCTTCCAGGTCCCTGGTGCCTCCCCGTCTGTGACCTCCTTGCCCCTTCCTCCACAATAGCAGTACATGGAGCAGGAAAGGGGGTACCACTAAACATGTGGGAGATCTAGCTGCAGGCCTCCTAGGCACACAGAGCATCAGCCCCTCCCAAGATGTAAACTCCTCCCCCATGCAGTCAGCCTCTTCTGGGGCTGAGGGTGGGGTGAGGCCACTGCCACTACCTCTGGTGACCTCATGGCCAGCTGGCATTATGATGTCACTGGCCTAGCATTCTGAGTTGAGCTACTGCATGTGGGGCACTCCCCTGGGGGCCTGTGACAGCTCACCCCTGACCACGAAGAGGTGACAGGCATGGTAACAATTTGGTGGGAGGGCAGTTGTATAACTGGGCTGCTTTGCCTTGGGCTGTTCCGTTCATTGCCCAAGCAGAACAAAGGCAGTCGGAGAGCCGGAGACCAACACTTAGCTCTGAGTTCAAGTTCTACCACTGCTAGGCACTAGCTGCTGACATCAAGCCAACAGCCTGAACTTTTGGGAACCTTGTTCTCTTCATCTCTGAAACTGGTTAGAAGTTCCTGTCTCATGGTTACTATCTTAACATGAAGCACACACACCACAGCACAGAAGGTGCTCAGTAAGTGTGAGCAGCTAGCGAGGGGTTCGTAGTTAAACATTAGTTGGGTTTGAAGATAGCAAGGTCTGTGCCTGCAGAGGGTGGAGACAGGAGTAACCCCTGTGCTAGCAGATGCTCTCATCTCTGACTTCCCTTCTAACAGCCAAGGTCTCAACCTCCATGGCCTGCTGTGACCGCAGGCCATCCTTCCATCTCTTCTTCCCGAGCTCAGGTTAGACATGGCCTCATCAGGTGTCCCCGATTCTCACTCCTGGGCTTCTCCCTCTATGATGGGCTCTGTCATTGCCACCCCTGATCCCCTAATAAAACCCTCTGACCTCCAACCACGACTCTGCTGCATCCCACCAGGTCTTGTCTCTGACCCGTTCCTAAGTTCTATTGTCAGCGTTCTCTGTCCTTAACCACCTGTCTCCCTCTAAGGCCTAGCTCTTGGGGACTGGTTCTTTCGTCAGCCCCTGGTCCCAGCTCCAGGCCGCCGGGCTCCTGCCTGGACAAAGGGGTCCTTTGTGGGCTGACCGCGGCTGGCAGGGCGGCGGGGCGCTGGCTCCGCATTGCTGATGAAACGGAGCCCTTTGTCCCTCCTCAGGCGCAGTATTTCTTTTTGGGGGCTGGATGCGTTCCTGGCAGGGCGGATGATGGATGCGCCCGCCGCTGCCGCCTGCCTGCCCGCCAGCTTTCCCTCCCGCTCATTCCCGCTCCGCTTCAACGCAACCCCAGCTCTCTTCCCCTGCTGCCTGGGTATTGCCAGGCCCTTCCTGGCCTGGGAGGGGTTGCTATGTGCCCTGCTATAAAAGGCGGGGGCCTAGGAAAATGTCCCTGTTCTCCCTTCTGTGAGTAGGTCAGACGGGGCCTGTAGTCAGGGGTCCATAGGGACCAGGGAGGACATCAGCCTTTCCCTAGGTCTGAAGGGGATAACAGCCACAAAGGCAGGTTTAGAAGAAGCTTGGGGACTAGGCCTAAGCCACGAAGACTAGTTTTGCATATCTGCTGTCTGAGGGCTGTCGCCCCTGTGACCAGGCCCGGTGCGTATCCTCCCTCCCCCACCTCGAGTTTCCAGGGTTGACAGACCGCAGTGTTCTGCCTGCAGCACCTGTTCGGTGACATATCACGTTTTCTGTCCCAAGCTCAGTATGCCTTAGGACCTGAGGGACTGAGAGCAGGTGGTCCCTGGGAGAACCCAAGTGAGAGATGAGGAAAATTCTAGGCGGGGACCAGAGATGAACGGAACACAAGGCCTGTTCCCAACATACAAAGACTGGGGATGGGGACAAAAGCAGGAGCTCAGCCTGAGCAAGTAAGCACCAGCCCTGAACCATGCTGCTTGCTGTGTTGAAGGGAACTGACTTCTAATTGACCTGCCGGCCCTGCACGCAGCGCCAGCTCCTGGAGCTGGTGGAGGGAGGGAGGGAGGGAGGGAGAGCTTGGGCAAGCAAGAGCAGCGTTAATGCGGCTATCGATTTCTGCCACCGGCCAGTGGGCCTTAGAGGCGGGGGACACACAGGCTTTTCTCCTGTCGCTCTAGCCCATAGACTATAGTCTCTGTAGTTAGCTGCTGAGTTGTGGCCCTGGGCAAGGAAGTTGAGCTCAGTGAGCAAGAGCTAGAAGAGGTGGCTTGGTGCTTTCTGACTCTTGTCCGTCAGCACGCCCCTCCCTCTGCACACCCGAGGTCACTGGTCTCTAAGGAAGAAGGCCTCTAAGAAGGAAAGGTGATTTAGGCCGACCCATAGGAGGTGAGATAGCACAAAATCCTCAGAACGGTCCCCTTAAAGCCCTGACCTCTGACCATGCCTTCCTGGGATTGTCCTGGTGGGTTCCAACATGCTTGATTCTTAACGAGGTGCCCCGGGGGGACTCAGATCCATGGAGATCCGAGGAAGACCTGCTTACCGAGTGAGGCTTCAGTTGCCTCCCCTGGACCACTCCTTGTGGCTACTTGTTGGCAGCCCTGGAGCAGAGGGCCCTACAGGTTACAGGTTTACCCCTTTGTAAATGCAGAGGGTCAGACTACATGACCTGGTACAGGCTGAGTATCCAGGGCAGCCTGATGGGTGTGATGAGGTTGTCCGGGGACAAAGATCTGATGTGTTCCCAACTCTCAAGCCCAGGGCAGGGTGGGGTTTGCCAGATGTTCTACTACCCCTTGAGCCACCAGCTGCTCAGGGGCTGGGCCTTTTGCTCTCACTCCTCCACTTGGGATACCGGACTGAAGGAGGCCTGCAGGGAAGGGATACCAGAGAGCCAGTACTCAGAGAAAATTGCTACCCTGCTCCATCTGGATCTGTGACAAGGGCACTGGCCTCTCACATGCCCTGCTCAAGGCTGGACTTCAGAAGCCCCCTGTCCTGGGAAAGGCCCTGGGCCTCAGAACTGTGGAGACGGCCAGAGGACCAGCTCTTGCTTGCCTCCACCTTCTCCACCCCAGCCCTCTGGATTTTCACTGGACCCTCTGCTCCCCTGGAAGCCAGGCTAGGGCACAGCAGGGGCTGAGGTGATGGCTGTGGTTTGGGAACAGAGAAGGGAGTGTGTGAAATTCATGCATGTCTTCCCACTCTTCCAAGAGGAGCACTTCAGGCTCCCTGCTCCTCCCTTGCTTTGTAGAAGGGTAGATGTTCCTTCAAACAAGGGTGCTATACTCTCTCAGACTTTGAATTAAACAGAGGAGCCTGAATCCTTTACCTGCAGTCTCCAGACAAGCATCCAGGGACAGCCATTCCGGTGTTGTGCTCAAAATATTTCCTTCTCTCTCTAGATGGGTAGGGACCAAAGAAAGTGAAGGTCATTAATCCTCCAGAGTTAGTTAGCCTCGCCAGATCTCCTACTCCACCAAGGACAGCAACCACTTTTCTTAGGTCTTCTAGATCTTCACAGGGCAGATTTGGGCTGGAGCCACTGACCTCAACCTCCCTGTGCCTCTCAGTGGCCATGTGTCTATGGGCTAGTAGCTCTCATAAGCCTTGTTCTCCCTGTCTGGGAAATAGAGGATTACCCTACCACTTTGTAGCGTTCTGCTGAATCTGAAGATAGTCCAAATAAATTCTTCACCAAGATAGGGTTGGCACTTAATGCCTTATCAGGCTTATGGTTGTTACCTTGGCAATATGGGTGGTGGTCTTGAAGGAAGAGGGTTTACTGACCTTGTCCCCACCTTTCCCAACAGAGTTCAGACGTTCTCACGTGGACACCTGACCATGTGCCTGCCCTGAGTGAGACCCACCAGACGTCTCGATTGTGGGCAATAGGGCTACACACTCATCTGTGAGCCCCCAGCAGTTAGCAGGCTCTCCCAGCAGTGGGGTCTGGGCCTCGGCCCCACCATGTCGAGCCTCGGCGGTGGCTCCCAGGACACCGGTGGTAGTAGCAGCGGCAACAGTAGCACCAATAGCAGCAGTGGCAGTGGCCCAAAGGCAGGAGGAACAGACAAAAGTACCACAGTGGCTGCGACCGCACCAACCTCAGTGGCAGATGATGCCCCGCCCCCTGAGCGTCGGAACAAGAGTGGCATCATCAGTGAACCCCTCAACAAGAGCCTGCGTCGGTCCCGTCCACTCTCCCACTACTCTTCCTTTGGTAGCAGTGGTGGCAGCGGAAGCATGATAGGGGGGGAGTCTGCTGACAAGGCAGCCGCAGCTGCAGCCGCAGCCTCCCTATTGGCCAATGGTCATGACCTGGCTGCGGCCATGGCCATGGACAAAAGCAACCCTACCTCAAAGCACAAAAGCGGTGCTGTGGCCAGCCTGCTGAGCAAGGCGGAGCGGGCCACGGAGCTGGCAGCCGAGGGACAGCTGACGCTGCAGCAGTTCGCACAGTCCACGGAGATGCTAAAGCGCGTGGTGCAGGAACACCTGCCCCTGATGAGCGAGGCAGGTGCTGGCCTGCCTGACATGGAGGCTGTGGCTGGCGCCGAGGCCCTCAACGGCCAGTCCGACTTCCCCTATCTGGGCGCATTCCCCATCAACCCAGGCCTCTTCATCATGACCCCAGCTGGTGTGTTCCTGGCTGAGAGCGCGCTGCACATGGCTGGCCTGGCCGAGTACCCCATGCAGGGAGAGCTGGCTTCCGCCATCAGCTCAGGCAAGAAGAAGCGGAAACGCTGCGGCATGTGTGCGCCCTGCCGGAGGCGCATCAACTGCGAGCAGTGCAGCAGTTGTAGGAACCGAAAGACTGGCCATCAGATTTGCAAATTCAGAAAGTGTGAGGAACTCAAAAAGAAGCCTTCCGCTGCTTTGGAGGTAACAGCACCGTAGAGGGAGGTGTGCGGGCTCTCCCATTTGTCTGGCAGTCCAAACCTACCCCCGAGTCCTGGAGCCCACCTTTCCTGCCTGCAAGTGTGGGGCATACCCAGCCAGTCCTAGGGCCTGAAGGTCTGGCTGCAAGGTACCTGTTCACTGCCCTAAAAAGCAGAGCCACATCCTGAGATGCCAGCAAGGCATGGTTTGCAGGTAGGGGCTTGGCATTCTCAGTTAGGCCCTGGTTCTTTGATGCCCCTTCCTAGGGCCTGGGTCAGGTATTTCCACATAGGTACCAAGTTTCTGTCTCATAGACGTGTTCTAAAGCAGTAACCCAAGACTGGTTGTGTGTTAGCCCCATCCGAAAGGTTCTGCCTGTGGACCCTGTGGCCTTGAGAGTGAGCCCTACAGCTTGCCTCCCAGAGTCCTGTCCCTCCCCCAGCACACACAGCGCACACGCAAAATAGAACAGCTGCAGTGCTGGCTGCCCTGCCTGGAGATGGGGAGGAACAGCTCAGCTCATTCCTAACTATGGTCCTGGCATAGCTACAGGGGTCTGTCTACCCTCTCCCCAGATAAGGTAAACTAACTGGGTTCAAAGGCAGCTTTGCAGTTTGCTGTCCCTGCCACTCGCTCCCACCCCTCTTGGAAGTAGACTTGATTCCATAGAAATGGTGTCCTGGCCATGGCCTCTTGCCACCTCTCTGACTGCAGCCTCCCATGTGTCTTGCTTACCTACCAGCTCACCACGGCACCCACGCCAGTGTAGACACCCACATGTACACCTGCTCCTCTCACTATAGCGCTCTCTGCTCACTGAGCGCCAGATATCTGCTCCCCATCACAGTTCCGTGTACACCACACAGTCTGATGCAGTGCAGGCTCGTGTGACAGGACGCAGCTGTGGCCCCAGGTATGGCCATCTGGTGCTCTGGGCCAAGGGAAAGGGGTCCAGAAGGCTTCTGAGTGCAGTGGCTCAGGAGGCCTCTGGGCCCTTGGGTAGCCCAGCAGGTCATGGCTCCTTCTTTGGCCAGCCTGTCCTGGCCAGGATAACAGGAACTCTTCGGGGTAACTGCCCGTCTTCCGAGCTCGTCCCTCCGCCAATGAGCCGGCCTCGGGGAGCTTCTTGCACCAGGTCCACCGGGACCCTGACTGAACTTTCTCCTTGTTTTTGTCTCCTGCCCCGCCAGAAGGTGATGCTTCCGACGGGAGCCGCCTTCCGGTGGTTTCAGTGACGGCCGGGAACCCAAAGCTGCCCTCTCCGTGCAATGTCACTGCTCGCGTGGTCTCCGGCAAGGGATTCGGGCGAAGACAAACGGATACACCCGTCTTTAGAACCAAAAATATTCTCTCACAGATTTCATTCCTGTTTTTATATATATATATTTTTTGTTGTCATTTTAACATCTCCACGTCCCTAGTATAAAAAGAAAAAGAAAAAATTTAACTGCTTTTTCAGAAGAAGAACAACAAAAGAGGTAAAGCGAATCTACAAAGTACCGAGACTTCCTGGACAAAGAATGGACAATCAGTCTCCTTCCTGTGTCAATGTCAATGTTGTCTGTGCAGGAGATGCCGTTTTGTGTAGAGAATGTAAATTTTCTGTAACCTTTTGCAATCTAGTTACTAATAAGCACTACTGTAATTTAGCACAGTTTAACTCCACTCTCGTTTTAAACTTCCTTTGATTCTTTCCAACCATGAAATAGTGCATAGTTTGCCTGGAGAATCCACTCACGTTTATAAAGAGAATGTTGATGGCACTGTGTAGAAGCCCCTCTGTATCCATCCACATGTGCAGAGCTACAGCCAGAGCCCACTGGGACTGGAGTTCCCGTCCCAGGCCCAGCCTTGTTGCACCCACTGTCCCCTGGCTGGGACCCCCTACCCCAACAGTGACAGATCTTGGAGAGATGAGGATTCTATTCATTTGTTGATCCGCTGAGATCTGGGGAGCCCGCATCTCAATTCTGGCTACTTCCCCTAGAGAAAATAAGCCCTCTTTTCTCAGCCTTGCTCTCAGCAACAGAAGAAAGGGCTTCTCCGGGTCCCTCACCTACCTCCCGGTAGGGGTGGGTGCCCAGGGGGCTCCCTACCCGTGGCCAGCTCCCTGCTGAGGAACATGCTGTTTGTATTGTTTTAGGAGACCAGGCTGTTTTGTGAATAAAATTGAATGCATGTTTGTGTCCTGATACACCGCTGGCTTCTTGGGGTTTGGGGGGGGGGGGCTGACTTGGGGCTGGGTCTAGGCTTTGTGTGGGACTATCTTGAGAGAAGGGTACCCTGAGGATACTTTGATTTGAGTCTCTTGGGAAAGAGAAGCCTTTCAGACTGGGTGTAGGTAGGGGGTAGGGTGAGAGCAGGGGCGGCCATCCTGGAAACAGCATGGAACCATGTTTATATGGAAAGTTTGGTGCATCCTAGGCCTTGGGACCTAGACCACTAAGGGGTGTCACCCACTTTGGGCCATACTGCTCCCCAGCTTTTCAGTGTCAGGCAGCCTGTGGTGCTGGGGCAGGCTGTCTGTCTGGGTCTTTTTGCATGGCAGCCATGAGTAAGTGTGAACTCTGCTATTCACACAGTGGAGTAGTTTCCTCCCAGGTTTCTGGAATGTGGCTGCCCTCTGTGTGCCCTGTCTTTGGACTCCTTCCATTCCAGCCTGAGTTCAAGAAGGGCATCTTCTGCTCTGGCCTCGAGGTGGTCTAGAACCTCAGAAGCCAGGTGTCTGGGGAGATGTTGCAGGGCCCCACCGTCCAGGCCAGGGCAACTTTCACAGAAAGAGGTGTCATTTGCTTACTCCTCCCCATACTCGTGGAGGCTAACCTGACGATGAAGCCTAGCCTACCGCTGGGGCCACACACACACACACAGCTGCTGAGCCTGGCAGAGGTGGAAGCTAGACTTGAAGAAGGACTTCCTGACAAGGTTTCAGGTGGGTGAGGACTTGGAGAACAAAGGAAGGTGGGATTTTCTGAAGCTGAGTGGGTGGTGAGGTGGGGGAGATGGACTGTCCCTGCTATTGTTCCGGGAAGGGGAAAGCTGGGAGGAGGTATCCTGACCCCCAACCCCGTTCCCTGTGTCACAGGCTCCCTTGGAGCACCAGGGGCTCAGCAGCCTGGCCTGGCACAGCAGGGGTAGGCAGGGGCGGGGGAGGTAGCTTTCAACTCCATCTCTGCCTGGGAAAATTCCCTTTCATGTGGCTGCCTGTGATCTCTCCAGGCGGCTCTGCCAAAGGGGGGTGTCCAGCAGGGAGTAGGGGGAGGTGTTGCAGCTGGGGGCACCCTCACTCCAGAACAAGGCAAACTGCAGCACCTCCAGAAACTTGGGGAAAGGGGGGGTCTAAGAGGGTATGGGGGACGCTGGCCAGCAGGGGGCACTGGGCTAGAGGCTTTTGCTGGCAGCATACAGGCTGCAGATGGCCTAGGCCGGCCCTCTGGCACACCTCCAGGTGTGGGGTGGGTGGCTCCAGTGGCTTAATGGGAGGGGACCGTGACTCAGCTGACCTGGTCCCACCCCGCAGTACAGAGACACCCAAAGTTCAAAGACCCTCATGTCCAGTTTCTGCGTCTTAACCCAAACCCCAGCCAGTGTCTCTGAAGGAAGATGGCTGTGGGGCCAGATCTTGCCCTGGAAAGTTATTCCTCCCAGAAAATGGCCTAAGGAGGAACACCATCACGAAGGCGGGGCCTGGTGCACAGTAAGCTCTGGTCAGTGGCACCTGATGTTTTAAAACTATTCTCGGCTGAGGAGATGGCTCCGTGGCTAAGAGTGTTGACTGCTCTTGGAAAGTACTGGAGTTTGGTTCCCAGCACATGGCTCACAGCCACCTGTAACTCTCTCTGGAGGAGCCAACAGCCTCTTCTGGCCTCAGGTACCAGTATATGAGCACACGCATGTACACATGAGAACAAACGTTTAGGTGCACACCTGTAGCCTCAGCTGTGGGGAGACTGAGACAGGAGGACAGCCTCGACTACAGAGGCCCCGTGTGAAGAACCCAGCGAGCTGATGATAAGGGGATGATGTGCCCCGGCCCAGCACTGAGGAGGTGGAGTCCGGAGATAAGGAAAACCTTAGTGATGTAGTGAGTTTGAAGTCTGCCTCTGCCTCCTGGGTGCCGTACACTACGCTCAGCTTTTCTTCCCGAGACAGAACCTGGTGTAGCTCAAGAGGACTAGAGAGTGGGTTCCAGGACACCCTGTCTCAAAACAAACAAAAAAAACCTTGAGTGTGTGCTTTTCCCCAACTCACCAGCCCACTTTATTCTTGAGATTATCTTTCCATTAAACTTTAATTTAGTATGTGGGTGTTTTGCCTGTATGTGGTCTTTGTGCTCCACATGGGTACCTGGTACCTGTGGAGGCCAGATTCCGGGAGGCTGGTGCTACAGGCAGCTGTAAGCCACAATAGATGCTAGAAATTGAACTCTGGTCCTCTAGAAGAGCAGTCAGTACTTTTAACTGCTGAGCCATCTTCCCAGCCCCAAAACTGTATTTCTTTAAAATAAACCATTCACTAGACCTCTCCAAAAAAAGGCCCTTTTGGCTGGACCTGACCTTGACATTTCTCCCTAAGGCCAAGTCCTGCCACACAGCCCACGTGCAGTCCGGCCCACTGCTCACCAGCCTGCCTGTCTTCCTGCTTTCTGGCCATATGGTTTAAGGGTCTCCACGTCCTGTGACCTAGCCTTCGCACACCTGTTTGTCTCCTTGTCACATTCAGAGTCTGCTGTCTTGCACCTCTTCTGCTGTCAAAGGACCCTGGGGTGGGGGGTGGAGGTAGCCCTTCCCTGCCAGGACAGTAAATATGGCCTCCTGGTGATTTAGAAGCCTTCACCCAGCATCCTATAGCCCTCCTGGGGGTCCAGCATTCAGAACCAGCTTTGAGGGTTGCAATGAGAGGCTGGACACACTGGAGTCAAGTCCTGTGTGTGTGTGTGTGTGTGTGTGTGTGTGTGTGTGTGTGTGTGTGT